GAGGTGGGACGCGGGGCGCTGTCTCTTCAAAACGAGGACCCAACACCACAGGATGGTTGGGAAAAAACGGAGGATGATTCAGAAGTGGTCGTTCAGATCATGTTTCTAATGATGGAGACGGTATTGTGATCCAGGCGGCTGTCATACTGATGGCGATAGATATGATGAAGGCGATGGTGGTGGCCATAGTGATGGTCATGATAAAGACGATTGTGATAAAGACCAGCCGTGGCAAGTCCAGAAGAGAGAGCAGGCTGAGCAACTGTGGTCTCTGAGTTGACCGCCGCGAACGCAAACGTGCTCTTCAGCGCGAACAAAGCGTAGGCAAAGCGAGCAAATAGCTGCACACTAGACTCCCGCCGGGGCACCCGATGGCACCAACAACACCGTCAAGATGCACTGTCGTTCCTGCCCCCGCGTCTCGGCCCACCCCCACCACGCCGCCACCTCCTGTTCCCTTTCGAATCCTCTTCACATTGCGGGACGACGCGATGAACGCACGCCTCACCTGCCCACTACCGCAAGAGTGCCCTCTCAACCAATCGTGTCGTGAATCGTGTCGTCCTGTTCCCTTTTGAACTCAAGCGGCGGATCGAACATACCATCTGAACCGTGCACTGGCCCAGCTTGGGCACCACACCTGACAACCCTGGCTGGCTGGAAAACGGGCACACCTCTTACTCTTGAGCTCCCAAGCTGCTTCGAGCCAGTCTGGAACCTGGGCGGTCTCGGGCCCGTGCTGGCTTTTTCGGGCTGTGTCGAGCCAATCTGGGGGGAGTTCTTGGGCCTTCGTTGGCCTCAGAAGCTCGGAAAAGGCGAGAACGCTCAAATCCGCCTTCTGTTCCGAAACACACAGAGTCCTGCTTAGTAGCTGTAGCTTCAATGATAGAGGGCCGAGGGGGTGATCCTGCTGGAGCCGATGAGGCGCAATGAGCTGCCTTGGAAGTGTTAGTGGGGTTCGGGGGGTTCTTGACGTCGCGGTCAAACCGTCTACGCCCGTCTTCACCCACAAACTTCAATGCAATCCAGCGCAATGCATTGCAAACCGATGTAAACCGGTGAAGAGCAGCGACAGGAATGCTTCGCATTGCAAAGGCACTGCAGTGCAACGCATTGCCATGGGACGTGGCAGCAACGTTGATGCATCGAAATGGAAATCTACGCAGCGCAATGCACGGACATCTCGAACGAAGCGGTTTCATGGCAACGCGCACTGAAGAGGAACTCTGGAAGCTCAGGTATCGAAAAACACAAGAACGCGGAAACTGCGCAAAGAGCCAGGGCTGCGCGCACCAAGAGGGGGGAGAGGGAGGAGGGAGGCGCGAGGAGACAGGTGAGAGGAGAGATGGAAGAAGAGTCGGGCAGGGGGACGGCGGAGGGAGGCAGAGAGGAGACACGGGAATCAGGACATCGAGATGCATGAGCGACCAGTAGTGGCGAGGAAGGAGGATGGATGAGGAAGGGCGTGAGACGGAAAGACGGATGAGCCAGGACTCCTCCTCATATTATGAGTGATGGGTGGTGTTCTCACTAAAAGGCTGGCATGGCATTGCAAGGACGAGCTGCAGACGCCACGATGAGGAGAGCATCGACTGAGCCAGCACGACAAGTAAGAGGACCCACCTGCAGCACGACCACCATACTGGTTGATTAACCTGACTCTCTTCCCCCCTGACACTTCTCAGACCACAGACCGCCATGGCTCCAGAGGCCCTGCGCGATAGGCGCTGGTCTTCCCGAGTCGATTACGCGACAGCTCTAACGTGGGGAGCGCCAGCGACTGGAATATGTTCAGGTCGATTTCGCCCAGACCCGTTCGCGAGCACGAGGAAGACAAGATCGCAGCACGATGCTTGAGCAATGGTCGCGAGCCAACTGGCAACCAAACTGAAGGCTTCTGGCCGCAATCCCAACCACGATCCGAAAACACACTGCTGGTTGGCGAGGGAGAATTTGCTCCTATTGTTATGTTGCTCCAATCGTGCTTAAAGACCACATCCCAGAAGTAATTTCGAGCACCCGGAAAAGTGTCGAAAGAGTGTCGAAACAGTGTCGGACGAGTGTTTCCGAACACGTGAAAACCATAGACTTTCGGTACTTGTGTGGTGCTCGAAATTCTGGCGATCAAGGCTAAAGTAGGTTGGAACATCATAATCCTATTGCTCACGCTGCTCTTGATCCTCTGCCTCCCCCGACTGTTCCAGCAACACGGCCCTGGCAGAGGCCAGCCTCGTGCCGCCAGGACCTCCGCCTTGGCGCAGATCCTGCCCCCCCCCGCCAGCCATCTCTGGGCCGTCTTGGAGCCTCCTGGACGCGTGCCGGAGGGAACGTCGTGTGGGGTCTCTTCGGGCTGCTCGGGGGCTGTCGTCAGGGGGTCTCCCAGTGCAGTTTCGGAGCCCTCGTGGAGGCCTCCTGGGCCGCCCAGGAGCCCTCTTGGGCCTTCTGGGCCCCTCTGGGCCCTCCCGGGCGTCTCTGGGGAATCGTCTTGCGGCTGTCTTGGTCTGTCCGGGGCTCTCTTGAACCTCTCCAGGGGTCCCCAGTCGAAACCCTGTTGAGCCTTCCTGGGCCAAGCTTAGGCCCATCCTGGAGCTTCGTTGACCCATTTTCGGCCATCTTGGGCAATCTTTTGTTTCGGATTTCTTCCAGAGGGGCGTCGCTCCGAAGGAAAACAAAACGTAGCAGTGAAACTCGCCAGTGGAGCGCGAAGCCACTCGATTGAACACAACCCTGAAACAACAGACCCCAGGAGAGCCCAAGAGGGGGAATACGAACTGATATTTCAACCTTTCCCCCCAAGATGGCTCCGAGAGCCCCCCAAGAGGCCCCCGAGGCGACCCCAAGAGGCCACCCCAAAGTATCCCAAACGTACCCCAGGGCCCTCCAAAAGGCCCTTGCGAGGCATCCCAAGAGACCCTCTGATTCATCAAATAGGCTCTTGACGCACAGCCCAGGCACGGTGGCGGATTGGGCCGAAAGCCACTCGATAACTTCCACGATCGTCGCACACTTGATCAGCCGCCCCCTGTCGATTCATCGCAACGGTGCCCGGCGTGCTAAACCCTCTCGGTTTGGGTTTTGGTTCCTTGTTCAAACAAAAAAAACTCCCCCTGGGGCTTCGGCCCGTCCCGCCGGCCACCCGGAAAGGAACTCAATTGCGGAACGATTCCTCCAAGACGGCTGAAGATGGCGCCAAAATAGCCACGTTTGCCCAAGATGGCCTCCAAAATGGTCCAAGATGGCCTCCAAGTTCGCCCAAGATGGTCCACCCGGAAAGGACCTCAAATGCGGAACAATTCCTCCAAGACGGCTCAAGATGGCGCCAAGATGGCCACGTTGGCCCAAGATGACCTCCAAGATGGTCCAAGATGGCCTCCAAGTTCGCCCAAGATGGTCCAAGACAACCTCCAAGACGGCCCAAAAGAGTCCAAGACGGCCCAAGACGACCCAAGAGGCCCCCCCAGAGGCATCCAAGACGGCCCAAGAGGCCTCCAAGAGGTCTTCCAGAAGGGCCCTGAGAGGCCAACATCATTTATTTTCCTTAGGTTTTTGAACGATTTTGGCTTTCGCTTCTTCTTGGCTTTCCGACGACCCACGACGGCCCGGGAGGCATCCAAGATGTCCTCAGGACTGCCCAATAGGCCTCCAAGACGGCCCCAAGAGGGCACAAAGACGACCCAAGAGCCCTCCAAGACGCCCAATATGGCCTCTAAGACGGCCCTGGAGCACCCCAGGAGGGCCCCAAATCGGCTCAGAGAGGCCCCCCAAACGGCTTCCGACAGCGTCGGACGGGCCAGGGGCCCACCAAGACGGCCGAAGATGGCACTAAGATGGCCCAAGACGGCCCAAGAGGCCTCCAAGAGGGCCTCCAGGAAGGCCCGAAAAGGCCAAAATCATTGATTTCCCATGAGTTTTTGAAGGATTGTGGCATGCGTTTTTTTGTTCTGCCTTCCGACGGCCCGAGACGGCCCAAGTGCCCCCAAAGGTCGCCCAAGAGGCCCAAGATTGCCTCAAGAGGCCCCAAGACGGTCCAAGAGGCCTCCAAGACGCTCAAGATGGCCTCCAAGACGGCCCAAGAGCCCTCCAAGACGTCCACCAGGAATGCCCGGAAGGGTCAAAATGGCCTCCAGGCGGCCAAGATGACCTTCAAGATGCCCACGTGTTCCCAGAAGGCTTTCCAAATCGATTCGGGGAACACATGGTCCGATAGCTTGGCAGGCCTGCGGCCTGGCCTCAACGTTCGGCCACATAGGCGCTTCCAAAAGGCAGGGGGCGGCGGTGATTCGCCGTAGGCGTCTTCGATCACTTCCACGATCGTCGCAAGCTCTGACTCATTATGCGAGTCGGCGTAAGCCACTTGAATAATGGAGGACCAAAAGAACAGAGAGATGGAGAGGAAGTAGGGCAGGGGAGATAAAGTGAAGAATCAGAGTGCGCCGACACCGTGCATGTGCAATGCCTTCACGGATTATCCTCATGCCCGTCGTCCTCAGTAGCACCGATGACCCCCTCGTCGTCATCGCCGTCGGCGGCGTCAGTCGCGCCAGTGGCGCCAGTGGGGCTCGTGTCGCCAGCGGCGGGGAGACCAGGGCCTGACAACATTGGCGGGGGCTCGGTTGTGGTTGTGCTCTGCATCATGCGGAAGTGCTCCATAACCTTGGGCTCCATGTGCACCCCGTGCTCCATGTTTTTGCGGCCCTGGACGGTGAGCCCAGTGGGCCTCCGCAGCGTAAGGTTGACAGGCAGCCCCTTCCAGGCGGCCACTCTGAGCTCCTCGCGGACGGCTATGTAGAAATCCTGAGCCGTCTTGTGCTGCCGACACGAAGCGCCATTCACTCCGACGATCAGATCGCCAGCGGCAATGGCCCCCGGGTGCTCGCTGTTGTACATGTCCACCAGGCGCGGCACGCTGCGCTGGTCGTTTGCGCTGGGGCGGATCCGATTGATGATGGTTGCCGCAGGGCAGGAGTAGGAGCCATTGGAGGGAGCGATCTCCCAGCCCATCAAGTACAGGGGGCTCGCGGCCTGAGGGAAGCTCCTCCTCCTCCTCCCTCCTCCTCCTCCTCCCTCCTCCTCCTCCTCCTCCTCCTCCTCCTCCTCCTCCTCCTCCTCCTCCTCTCCTCCTCCTCCTCCTCCTCCTCCTCCCTCCTCCCCCTCCTCCCCCTCCTCCTCCTCCTCCTCCTCCTCCTCCTCCTCCTCCTCCTCCTCCTCCTCCCCCTCCTCCTCTTCCTCCTCCTCTTCCTCCTCCTCCTCCTCCTCCTCCTCGCGGCCTGAGGGAAGCTGATCTGAATGGACCGCTGCTCCTCCTGGCCGATTTCCCCTACTGGGTGCGTCTCGTCGAAGGCGTCCTGGATCCACCGCGGCCTCTGGACTCGGACGAGCGCCGACCTGTGGGTCCTGTTGTCCACGGTGGCGGACCTGTAGTGCTTCCTGAGGACCGTCATCCACCTCGTGGCGTTGTGGTGGAAGATGACGTTGTCGAACTGCAAGACCTCGTCTCCTTCCAGGATCAACTGGTCGGCGTTTTCTTATTCTGCGTTTCGAGATTGGGCGGAAGGGCTGCGTAGTGCGACATCTTGCAACAATGCGCCCCAAGGGGGGGATGCTCCACCTGCTCGAAACAATCGCCAAAAACAGCCCAGATCTGCTCCACCAGGGAGGGGGGAGGGGGGGGTGCGCGGGCCCGCGCCGATCGGCAAAACACGGAAAAAGAAAACGATCGCCTGGTCGGGGTGCTCGCTGTTCCACTCCGCAACTGGGCCGAAGTCTTCGATCTTCTTGATGACGACGGGCTTCCAGTCCTGGGCCCCCTCCCTTCCGTGCTGGAGGCCGAGGGCCCAGCCCATGATCCTGTCCAGGGAGCTGTCGAGCTCGTCGGGCAGGAACAGCTGGGCGACGAACTCAGTAGCGTACTCTTTGTTGTGAGCGTCTTCCCGCTGCAGAGCAAAACGGTTGTGGTGCCAAACTCTCGGCCTCTGAATGTAGAGCCTTAAGACTGCATCCGCCCCCTCGAGCCCCTTGCGCCCGGCTTTGAACTGGCCGACGATGCGCTGAACGAACGTCGCCGTGTTCGCGTGCCACTGGATGTGGTTGACGCGAACGATTTCGTCGCCTACGTGCACTTCGTTGTCAGGGTTGTTCTTGTTCCACTCCTCGATGAGGCCGGTCTTGTGGATCGTCGCCACCTTCGCGGGCTGGAAATCGACGTCATGGTCGAGCACGATTCCCATCAGCTTTCCCGTCTCGTGCGCCTCGGTCATGTTCAGCTCCACGACGAAGTCCTTCTCGTACTTCTGAAGGTGGGCAACCTGGCGCTGCTCTGGAGACAGGGTGGTCCCCACCTGGCCGCCCTCCTCGCTCTCCACCGACATCTGCAGCACGCTGGCGCGGTTATTCGTGCTGGACTCCTCGGCCAGAACCAGGACGTCGAGGTCCACGACGGCGCCCCGCGAGGCCAGGGACCTCACCTGGATGGCGCGGGGGCGCGCCGCGAGCTCGCCCAGCAGCAGAGCGGAGAGCACGAAGCGCCACAT